AAGCTGTCTCTCCTAATACCCTCCCTAGCAAGCACAGAGCTGCGGTCCTTTCTTCAAGTCACTGCCTTCGGGGATGGTTCTCCATGGCAAATGTTCTGTGAAGGGTTATCTGTTGGGTGTGAAACTGCTGTTATCACTCCCTACTTTACCCACTCAACTATCCACATCTTTGGGGGGCCCAGGAGGAAGTGTCAAAATTACCTTACAGAGCTGCAGTAGAGTGTAATGGTGAGGACTGCTTACAATCTGACTTCTTGGATTTATCCTGGCCACTTACTCCTTGGGTGACCTGCAGCAAACCACCAAATCAACTCTCCATGCCTCAGTTTGCTCTTCTGTAACATGAGAATAATAGGACCTATATCTAAGAGTAGTGATGATAGTTAAATGAGATAATACATGTGTGGAAGTGACCCTTTGCTATATGCAACCTTCTAATATCTATTTTTCAGTAAGTCATAATTTCCATTCTATAGCCTGGTTATGGTAAGTAGTTGATCAAATCCAAGGATTATTGTTTTCAGTTGGGCTCCAGGTCAAATTCTGTAGCTTGGGTAAGAAATTTCCTCATGACTCTCTCTTCCCAGCTTTCCGTCTGCACCTGCTTCTACTTTCACTGGGCTCATGATTGCCTGTGGGCCTGCCACTAAGGGAAGGGGGTCCACTTCACACCCAGGGCTTGTCTGTGAGACCTGGAGGGCTTGTGGCAACTCCTCAGAGTGTTGGCCTTTGAGCTGGCTGCACCAGCTACCGGGCACTCTTTACTGCGTGGCACATTTAATGGTCTGAGCCCTGTCAGCAGGTGTCCCACAGAATGCAGCAACTCCTCCCACCCCATGGAGTACCTTGGCCTCATCTGGCTTCTATGGGGCTGAAATCACAGTTGTCTACCTTCTGTAGTTCCTGGACCCATGGGGATCCTAGCCATGCCCCTCCAGGCACACAAGAAGTGTGGGTAGACACAAAGAGGCGAACCTTTCCCCTCTAAAGAGGATGTATGCTCTTTCTAGCATGCTTTGTTGGCTCTAGAGAGTAAATGCATGGGTCCTGCTGCTCTGCAAACTCCAGATGAGAAGTCAGGGCCTGTCTGAATGTGCATAAGTACCTCTCAATCTCCAGGGGCTACATCTAGTACCACCTCACCTCCTATCCCTCTGGAGTGCAGAGATGGAGGGAAAGGAACAACGTGTAGCACTTAGGATTTTGATATCCCAAATCTCTCTTCTTTCTCTTTCTCAATTCCTTTTATATCTTCATGGTGACCAAATATGCCAACCCAAGTTCTATCTCATTTTTCCCCTGATGCAGACTGGCTGCCTGGTTCTGTGACAGGACTCCCTTTGTACTAGGTATTTTGGAATTTGGAGTTTCTGTTCTCAGCTTAAATAGCAGTCCAGACACCTTTGTTTGCTCTTGGTTTGTGGGGAGGGGCCAGATGGTGGTCAGGGAAACTGCAAAAGGCTTATTTCATTGATGTTTTACATGGGCTTAAATCATTAAACATTCTGGGTGCCTGGGTGGCTCAGTTGGTTAAGCGACTGCCTTCGGCTCAGGTCGTGATCCTGGAGTCCCGGGATCGAGTCCCGCATCGGACTCCCTGCCTCAGCAGGGAGTCTGCTTCTCCTTCTGACCCTCTTCCCTCTCGTGCTCTCTATCTCTCATTCTCTCTCTCTCTCAAACAAATAAATAAAATCTTAAAAAAAATCATTAAACATTCTAAACTTGCTAAGCACACAATAACTGTAAACAATCATTAGCCATTTTACTGAAATTTTAAAACATAAAACTCTAGCCTAAGATACCAACAAATTCTCAGTTCCAGGGACACCAAATATGTTATTATAATTTCTGAAAACTGTGAGCTTCACACAGCAGTACACATGGACACTACAGAGATAGTAATATTTTTGTCTATTATATACCAGTAGCGTTGCCAAATTTAGCAAACAAAAATACAGGACATGCAGTTAAATTTAAATTTCAGGTAAACAACGAATATGTTTTAAAATATAACTATGCCCCATTCAGATAAATAATGTCTGATTTTTCCATATAAGTATGTCCTAAATATTGCATGGATGTCTTGCATTTTATCTAACATTCTTACATGCCAATCACCCACCTTCCTTTGTTGAGAGTTTGAAATAGATCCTTTTACTGTAAATGTAAAGGCGCCTCTCAGTTACTACATTGCACCAAGGTTATATCTATCCAAGGCTAAGGGGCTACCTTTAAAAAAACAAACAAAAAGGTCAGAGTTGAGTGGGAAGGAGGATGTGGCCAGGCATTTGTCCCCTCATGTCAACTCCTAAAACCAGATTGAGTACCTTTTCAATGAAAAGGGATGGAATAGGAACATGGTATCTGTGTTTCCATGTTTGGATCTGTCTCATCCCAAAGAGTGTTAATATCTTGAAGGCTCAGCATAAGCTTTGTTTACTTAGGAAGCATGAGAAACATGTTAACCCTTTGAAAAACTTCTAATTAAACTGTTGGAGCTTTGATGTCAGACTTTTGAATTAGTATTACATCATTTAAAAAGACCAATTTTGGGGTGCATGGGCGGCTCAGTCAGTTGAACATCTGCCTTCAGCTCAAGTCATGATCCCAGGATCTTGGGATCAAACCCCGCATCGGGCTCCCTGCTTAGTGGGGAGCCTGCTTCTCCCTCTCCCACAGCTGCTCCCCCTGCTTGTGCTTGCTTTCTCTCTCTCTGTCAAATAAATAAATAAAATCTTAAAGAAAAAGATCCAATTTCATGTGCCACTAGAGAGGGAAAAATATGCTGGTCTTCATAGACGGTTATTGAATTTAGAGAATATTTTAAAATACAAATCATTACCACTTGATAAGCTGTATTTGGTGCATCAATCTCAATTTAGAAAGTGTGCTCTTAGAGAATTGCTATCTCCCAGACTTTTCTGTTAAGTGACCATCACTAGTATTGGTTTCTAGTATAAATCGATGTTTGTATGTTACCCTGGAAGCTGCTGAATCTTCAAGAGATGATGGAATTGGTTTCAAATAGAAAGTATTTTATGAGACTTCAATGGAGAGAACCAACATATACTTTGAGTGTCTTTTATATGCTGTGGACTTCACATATATCTCCAATCTAACCAGTAAGTTAATGAGAGAGGGTGATGAGGTAAGTAATTTTGCCAGCCTCATAAAATTGTCTGATTCTGAGAGCACTGTATCTAATATAACTCCCTTCTGAATTTTCGTTATAGCCCTCACCTGCAGTTATTTTGTTCTTCAGAAGGAGACTGAGCAAAAAATCTCACACTCATTAAATTCACGTCTAACTCTGGTAATATGAGTGGTGATTTCTTACATGGTGAACACTTTTACTTCTCCTGATGGAGTTACAAGTTCTTCCCGGTAATATTTTCAAAAGACATTATACATGAAGTTTATGCATACTTACTTGTGGTTACCTGTTTAACAGCACATGCATTGTGTATTTAATTCTATAGTTAAAATTTACCCCAAAATTAAAAAAAAAACTAATTCAAAGGATACATGCATCCCTCTTTATTGCATACAGTATTATTTTCAATAGCTAAATTATGGAAGCAACCCCAGTGTCCACTGATAGATGAATGGATAAAGACAGTGTGGTATACATATACAATGAAATATTATTCAGCCATAACAAAGAATATCCTGCCATTTGCAACAACATGGATGGAGCTAGAGAGTATAATGCTAAGTGAAATAAGTTGGTCGGAGAAAGACAAATACCATATGATTTCACTCACATGTGGAATTTAAGAAACAAAACAAATGAGCAAAGGGAAAAAAAGAGAGAGAAACCAGGAAACAGCCTCTTAACTATAGAGAACAAACTAATGTTTGCCAGAGGAGAGATGGGTGGGGGATGGGTGAAAGAGGTGACAGGGATTAAGGAGTGCACTTGTCATGATGGGCGCCGGGTGATGTACAGAAGTGTTGAATCACTGTGTTGTACGCTTGAAACTAACAGAACATTGTATGTTAACAATACTGGAATTAAAGAACTTAATAAAAAAACTTCTGGAAATATGCACAGAAAACTATTAACAATACTTAGTTCTGAGGCAACAAGTTAAAGTCTGAATGGGAGAAACACTTTACACTGAAATTGTTTATGATATTTCAAAAGGTAAGAAGAGCCCGTATGTAGGTTGGAATAATGATAAGAGAAAAACGAATACTAACAGTAAAAAAACAATTTTAAAGAATACTGAAATTTGAAGAGTCCAATCTCCCACCCTGTGACAGTATTACATGGACAACATTCTTACTTCTGTTTGGATATGTTAGTGGTGTGAAGTTTGTCAGTTTTCAAGCCTGTTTATACAATGAATAGATAGCAGTTTGAAATGAAGTATATATTTAGCTGGTATTTGCCTCTTGGGAACTTTTACTTACAGATCCTAGTTCTGGCCTCTGCAGCCACCTAAATAAACGTAATCCCTCCCCCACCCAACACAGGGGCTATGTTAGTAAACCGCCTAACGTTTTGGTAACTTTTACAGCCTGGAACTCATAATTTGACCCCTAAGCAGAGGATGTTATTAAAAATGGTATTGAATGTATTCGTATATAAAAGGAAAACATACAAAAATAATGATGTAGTCCAAGGAAATTTACTGTATTTCCTTACACATAATATGCATACACACATATAATATACTAACATATATGTTTACATATTTCCTATTAAACGAGAACATAAACTAGAAAGCAAGTACCTCTCTTCAGTTGTCTTTCCATTACATTCCCCCTTCCCTATGCAAGCGAGTGGGACAACATGAGCTAAGTCAGTGCTCCTGTGGTGAGTTTTCAGTATATTGCATCTGTTAAATGGCATTGGGGTGTTTTTTCCCCTTCCTAAGTGATCTTACCCTGCGAGGGTTTCCTCAGTAAAACAAAGTGTATCCAGCACCCTGTCACACAATTGTAAGTCCATCTATGTTTATAGTCATGTTCTGAATGTCTCTCCCCCTCCACAGATCATTTTCCGAAAAATCAGTGACGTGAAGAAAGAGGAAGAGGAGCGCCTCAGGCAGAAGAACGAGGTCACCCTCAGCATCCCCGTGGACCACCCCGTTCGAAAGCTCTTCCAGAAGTTCAAGCAGCAGAAGGAGCTGCGGAATCAGGGGTCCACCCAGAGTGACCCCGAGAGGAACCAGCTCCAGGTAGAGAGCCGCTCCTTACAGAATGGAGCCTCCATCACGGGCACCAGTGTGGTCACCGTGTCACAGATCACGCCCATCCAGACGTCTCTGGCCTACGTGAAAACCAGCGAGTCCCTCAAGCAAAACAACCGCGATGCCATGGAACTCAAGCCCAATGGCGGTGCTGACCCCAAATGTCTCAAAGTCAACAGCCCGATCAGGATGAAGAATGGAAATGGGAGGGGATGGCTGCGACTCAAGAATAACACAGGGGTGCACGAGGAGAAGAAAGAAGACTGGAATAACGTCACGAAAGCCGAGTCGATGGGGCTATTGTCAGAGGACCCCAAGGGCAGCGATTCCGAGAACAGCGTTACTAAAAACCCATTACGGAAAACGGATTCTTGTGACAGTGGGATTACAAAAAGTGACCTTCGTCTGGATAAGGCCGGAGAGGCCCGAAGTCCGCTGGAGCACAGCCCGATTCAGGCTGATGCCAAGCACCCCTTTTATCCCATCCCAGAGCAGGCCTTACAAACCACACTGCAGGAAGTCAAGCATGAACTCAAAGAGGACATTCAGCTGCTAAGCTGCAGAATGACTGCCCTGGAAAAGCAGGTGGCAGAAATTTTAAAAATACTCTCCGAAAAAAGCGTGCCCCAGACCTCTTCTCCCAAATCCCAAATGCCTCTCCAAGTACCTCCCCAAATACCATGTCAGGATATTTTTAGTGTTTCAAGGCCAGAGTCACCTGAATCTGACAAAGATGAAATCCACTTTTAATATATATATATATATATATATATATATATATACATATACACATATATATTTGTTAATATATTAAAAACAGTATATACATCTATATACATATGTGTGTATATACAGTATATACATATATATATATTTTCACTTGCTTTCCATATGATGAACACAATATGGATTTTGATATGTAAATATTGCATGTCCAGCTGGATTCTGGCCTGCCAAAGAAGATGATTATTTAAAACATAGATAGTGCTTGTATATTATGCAGTTGACTGCATGCACACTTTACATTTATTTATAATCTCTATTCTAATACAAAAAAGTATGATTTTTGTTAACCAAGGCAATGTAATATTTGAAGAATCAGGGTCCAACCTGCCAATGTTGCCATGACAAATTTGATCTCAGGCTGAGTATATTGAATTGTCATTTTCTCACTGTTCTGTTAAGTTAAAATTATAGATTAATGCCAAGGGAGAGTTCAACCTTTTAGACTGTTGGTACCATTTTATAATCTCTTTTCATAGGATATTTTTCTGTAACTTAGTGTTAGGTTATTTTCCCCAATAGGCACTGTTTGCTCCATCGGAATGACTGTTTTGTTGCCTAAATCAGATAGCAGTGTGGGATATTGAGAACGTATTGCTATGAGTTTTGTGCATGAATTGCATTTTCGCTCAACTATACCTCTCCTTTTTTAACACTGTACGTAGATAGTAATCATTAACTCTTATGTAAGGAAATCCCTACTCCCTCTGTCTTGGAGAATAGCTGCCATCTTATAAGCTGATTTTATCAACCCCATAAATATGAAACTATTAATATAGTATATATTATTATAGAAAAACTGCACCACAGGGTAAAAGGGCCTTTTAGCAATTCACGTTAGTGATGCTGGTTTTCCAAATGTGATGAATGTTCTCAATTTGTGTTTCTAAAACTTGTTCAAAGGTGAGGTCGAAAGGCTCTTGGCAAAGAAACAAACAAAACACATTTAAATAATCATATCAAAATTTTAACTATAATGATCTAAATAAAAAAGAATGTAAACAGATAGACAGTTTTTGTAGCATATCTGTAACTTAGGGCGAAACACAGGTACAGAATTGTTCACACGTGTTTCCTAACAATGTTTATAGGGATAACACATGAAACATGGTTAGAAAAAAATCTAAGAAGTTGATGTTAAGTTGCTCAGTTCAGATAACTGCTTTTCTATAATTTTATCCTGGTTACAATTTTCTAAAGCTTTTTTTTGCACACAGTTCTACTGCAGGACTTCTGCTGAGTTGATACAATAGACTACTGTGGCTCAGGCAGATCCATTTTTGAAAGGGGGGTACTAGAGACTGAATTTCCGAGTCTTTGAGTCATAAATCCTCCTCTTAGAAAGTGCCTATTATCAACTAAAAAAAAAGTCACAAAGAGTTGTGTATAGCTAGTCCCTTAAATGGTATGTATTGAGAATAAAATACATGTTCATTTGTAAGAACCCAGAAAAATTTATTTCTTTTGACCAAAGTATATTTTGTGAAGTTGATCAAAGAGGCATACTTTTAAACTGGTGCATGCATGACATTTAACTGTGGAAACAGGGAAGTTATTGTTTGCATCAAGTTGAAAATATATTCCAGTAATTTGTACCTTATCGGAGCATCTGTACATATATGTTAACAACATACACAAGATGATAGCAAAATCAAAGGAGCTATTTTGACCTATTGTTGCCATTTTTATGAGCTTTTCTAACTATCTCCCAGCATCCCCAAACAAAACCACCAGAACTGAAAGACAAGTTATCGCAATCAGACTGGAGAAGTGCAGAACAAAGTAATTTATAAAAACAACTGATATTTTAGAATTTCTATTAGAACTTCTTCACATGCCCACAAAATGTGCCTCTTTAATCCAGGAGTCTCAGAACAGATGTTACATGCCATGGGTTCCATTTCCCCTTCTTTGTGCGCACAACTTCCATTACTCAGCATGGAAGTTTCCAGGGGAGCATGTCTCCATGCTATGTTACAACATCTACCTACCACAGGCACAAGAAAATGAGGTACTCACAGTATAAGGAATCAGCCTTGAAATGGAGATTTAAGTTGCTTTCATGGTGAGGATGGTACTTTTTTCTTGACCTCTGACATTTATTGAATTTCAGGGTATTTTTCTATTTAACCATGTATGAGGCAAGCTTGGTTAAGCTTTTAAAGGTGAATGAATAGTAAAGACAATCTGCATACAGAAATGGTCAGTCTAACTTAAGCCACATGCTTCAAAAAAAATAACCATTGGTGTAAAGCTATATCAGAATGACTAAAACAGCAGGGCAATTTGATGTTGCAATCCACGCCTTTGCTTATTAGTGGTGCAAATATTCGCTGTGTTCTGCCATTAACTCAACTGACCTACAATATTATTGTTCATATACATGGGCAAGAAACATGGTTTTGAACTCCTCCAGGTTGTCACCAAGGGGGAAAAAGTATCAATTGCTTGTTTATGGTGCAGTTATCACAGTATTCTTTTCCAGTCACCTGTGTTCCTATGTGCATGACACGACGAGGTGCTGAATGCACTCTGCTTTTTCAGCAGAATTGCATGTGTTCAGCAAACATTGTATATAGTCTTTTAGGTTCCCAGATTCTGCAATTCTTACCAGTTGAACTTACTCAGATTTGAATGAAGGATGAACACTTGCTTAAATACGTGCAATAATGATAGAGTCCTGTTCTGTGTTGCCTCAGCCAGCACATGGACAGTAGATTCTCTTTTGGGGGGACCAGACGACTGCATGTTTTATTCTTACACTGTATAGATGCTTTCGGTGCATCCAGAATAAAATTTTTATTATTATATTTCTGAACAATGTACTAGTAGGAGTAAATAGATATGTATTTACAATCCAAACATTTTCCAAAGCAACTTACATACCTTCAATATTTTTCTATGATAATATAGAAGATCAGATGCTGTACCCTGGACAGGTGGTTGTAATGTAATAGCAAAAGTCAAACAAAAATGGAAATGTGAGCTGTGCATCATAACGACAAGTTTTGCCAGTCTGTATTAGGATCTTATTGCACTGAATATGATCTAGTAGATGGAAAAGCTTATGATAAAGAGAACACAGGCACACAAATGGCAGATGACAATACCAAAGCTACTAGTGTCCCACAATGACATAAATAGTACTTAGAATGGTTTGGGCATAGATATTGAATAGAGACATATACATCATTGTTAAAATGGAAAATTTTTATTATGACACCAGTTTCATCTCACATTAAGTACAGAAGTAAAATTGTCCTAAGTACCCAGTTAAAAAAATGCATGTAGATCAGAGCAAGAGAATTAGAAAATTTGGGGTTTTAAACTGCTTTTAAGAACAAGCATATACTCCTGGAGTTCCCAGCATGTTAACAAGAATATTAATTATGACCACTAACAAAAATGCCATTTTGAAAATTAATTCTATTGGAACCCAAATGCAAATCACAGCTTCCTTTAAATTTAAGGAGATTTTGTTCTCCTAAGATCTGGCCCATTTGCTGTTCTATTTTAAATTACTAAATTCTTTTAGAAAACTTAAAAAAAATTAATCTTCAGAGCAGTGACTGTTTTTAAAGTGTGCAGTGGCTGGTACTGGTGAAATTATGTGTCATATTCTTAATGAATTCTACTATCTTGTATAATTTTTATCTTTTAAGCTGTTTTATGTCTCTTTTCCAAAATTTTATGTAGATAATGAGAAAATTTATCTAGAATGTACATATCATACATGGAAAACTTTAAAATATGAATATTTTGTAATTATGTGACTGTTGTGTTTTAATATTTTGTTACATATAAGAATATTTCTCTTGTGGTCTTGATGGAAAGGGAGAGAAGAAAGAACAATTTTTTGGAAAACATCCTAGGATTAGTATCTGAGCTCTGTCTTGGATTCTGAATCTAGCTTTGCCACAATTACAGTGTAACTTTGGGCAAATTAACTGTTCTTTGGTGTGTCTGGGCTTCAATTCCCCACCAATAAATAATAAAATGAAGATAAGAACTGCTCCATTCTTATATCAAGATGATATTAGGTCAGTGGGAAATCATCTTCCTCTCAAATGAAAATCACATGAAGATAAATTATTAATTTTTTCTTTCTTTCATAGAAGATCAGCTGAGATATACTCTTTAAATATTTTCCTAGGGTTTAGAGATTTCTCTGGTCAGAGATTGGTGGGGAAAGGCATTGATGGCTAAAAAATTATTAGTCATTGGCATGTGAGCAAAAGACAGATGTCTGGGAATTTAGAACTACTAATTAAATAAACATGGAAAGAGTGAAGGTCTTTGGAGAGAAGAGAGAAAGAAGAGAAAAAGATGTAAATATTATGATTTTTGCTTATTCTATTTAATCATACTGCTCAGCAGAAATTCTCAATCTTGTGAGAAAAAGTAAAAAAAAAATTGTTGAGTATTCATGATACAGAGCAGTTCATCTTTCAAACTCTTGTATAAAAATAATCATGACTTAAGATACATGGCTCCACATGGGCAGATGTTCTTATAACAAAATTCTTAATTGTGAAAGAATCTTTTCCAATAACCAACCAATTTTTCAATGTATATCTTGAACTAGAAAAAAAAGGTAAAAAAGGAAAACCATTTGAATTACCTTAAAAAACCACTGATGTTATTGTGTCCTAAATTAGAGTATTCTAATTTAAAAAGTTTTAATATGTGATTAGTAATATTGATAACTCTAGGAAGCCCTTGATAACATGTAAACATTTTATTTTTTGAAAATGAGATTCATTTTGTTAACATTTGTTCAGTCTGCAAAGACAGTCTTGTATCCTAAAGAATACACTCAAACCTGCAGTCAGTACATATGTGGTGATCCTTTGTATAAAGAAAATAACAAGAGCACCTAGAAACAAGGGGGCAAACTTATACACTATAAGAGACATTTCGATCTCTTACTAATCTTTCTGTTGTATCAGAATTTTAAAACTATTATT